GGTTTGTATTTTACTGATTTCAATTCTGGATATGTAACCAGCTGTGTATTTCCTAAAACTAAAATAGAAAATTGGACTTACTAGAATGGGATTTATACAGTTATTTTATCCGTTTTACTCCACTGCCTTTACTAGTAGATCACTATCTCACAATCACTTTCTTGGTAAAAGACTGAAAGTGGCTCTCAGGTTTAGTGAAGCTCTCATAAATGGAACCAGAGCACAAACCATGGGAGAGGTTTCGACCGTTAAGTGGGTTTGAAATGGCCACATTTGAACTCTCACATTACCTCTTCAACAGCCTCTTCTCTTCCTGCTGTCCAGCTATAAATGAGAATCCCTCCACACCAGTACCCTAAGGCCATACGTCTGCTGCTTGAGACCGCACACTGCTATTTAAATCTTTCAAATTACACTGAAAATTCTGATGTATTTTTCCTCGAGTCTAAACCTAATCTCTGCTGTCTGCAGGCACATAGTGTGGACATTCAGCCACAGCTCTGTATTGCCAAGCTTACAAAGCTGGAATAAAAAGATCTTACTGTTAGTTTGCATGTCATGATCATAAATAACGCCAAGCGTGGTGCACTATGACGTCCTGAAAGAATATATACATAGATATAGATAGATCTATCTATCTATCTATCTAAAATTTTAAAGTCTAATTAACATGTAACAAATACACAAATCTGAGGTTTTTCCTTGAAGTTGAAAATAGGTAAATATCCCATTCGGAGTGACTTTGCTGCCTGGGATATCTCTTCATTTCACCTTCCTTTTGTTAGATAATTTTGGTGGTTATGTTTGTATATGTGTGGTGTGAGATTACATACACACTCAAACGGCCGTTGAAGATCGTCCTAAAGCATCTCAATAGGATTTAAGTCCAGACTTAAATGAAGCCGCTCCAAAACTTGTTTGTTTGTTTTAGCTATTCAGAGGTGGACCTGCTGGTGTGTTTTCTGTCATTGTCCTGCTGCATAACCCAAGTGCACTTGCTCTTCAGGACAGAAAGTGATGGCTGGAAAATTCTCCTTCAGGAGTTTCTGGTAATAAACAGAATTCCTGATCCCATCAGTTGCAGCAGACATCACACTACCTTTTATTTTAAATGTCATTTTAATAATCATCTTATTTTTTATTTTTTTTAATATTTTTTATTTATTTTATATTGTTTTTATTTTTAATTTTTTTATTTCTTATTTTTTAACATGTTCAATGTATCATTTCTGGCATGTCAAGTGTACAGCACTTTGTGTTCAGCTGGGGGCTGATCTGAAAGTGCTATATAAATAAATTGCTTGCGTGCTATCTCCACCATGTTTGGTGCTCTTGGTCTCTTTTTCTGAAAGGCTGTAAAAGTTTTATGCCAGATGTAACAGGACTCAAACCTTCCAAAAGGTAACTTTTGTCTTATCAGTTCACAAAATATTTTTCCTAAAATCTTGGGGACAATCATCGCCTCTTTCTTGTGGTCGTGTCATGATTACTGGCCTCAACTGAGACAAGTGGCATCTGCAGCTCTTTAGATGTTCTCCATAGTTCTTTTGTGACCTCCTGGATGAGTCGTTCATGCGCTCTTGTAGTAATTTTGGTAGGCCGGCTGCTCCTGGGAAGGTTCACCACTGTTCCAAGTTTTCTCCAAGTTTGTGAATAATCACTCTTACTGTGGAGTAAACTCAAGTCTCTGTTGCTTAGCTGTTTTTTTTAGACTGTGGCTTTTAGCCTGGTTCCCTTTTCAGACAGTCATCTCTCCGAGGTGTGGCTAGTGAAATTGAGCTTTCCAACAAATGTGGTTAATCACAGTTAATCTATGATTGGTCACAACTGTTTTACTT